GAAGCCCTCGATGATCTGGCAGACTTCGTTTGCCGGGCCTTCGGAGGAGACGTAGTTTACGATTACAGAGGCGCCGCGCTTGCCGAGCTCGATTGCGCAGCCACGACCAATTCCTCGGCCTGCTCCTGTAATGAGGGCGACTTTGCCTTCGAGGGAGGCGGTGGGGACGTTAAGGTTTTTTAGTGTGTCCTGGTTCCCGGCAGGCCACACACACGCACACACACGCACACACACACACCACAAGCGCCAGATGCCCCCGGGAGCTAACTGTAGCCTGTAGGGCAGCCTGTCCGTCCCCAGTCCTACCTACCTAACCAGCTGCCAGCCAGCCCAGCCAGCCAGCGAACCAGCGCCAACGACAGGGCCTGATTTTACAAGAGGGGGCGGCCTGCTTGTGTTTCATACCGCCTGGACGGGGCAGCAGGGCGGGTGGCAGGCTGGTAATGTATGCGTTCCCGCCTGTATGGAAAGCTGGATAGTGATTAGTGCGCACTCTCTTGTGTGGGCATCCAATACGGGGAAGGGGAAGGTCGCCGGTCCCGCGGAAGCTTTCAAAGAGGGGCCCATTCAGGCGGGACCTTTTTTTTTTTACGCCGGTGACTGGCCATGTACCTACTGTGTACTACTGTGGTACTCTAGTATGTATGTTGCTAGTAGTAGGTAAGTAGGTACCGGTAGGTAGTAGCCGTCGAGGCCAAAAGAACTTGCCTAGCCATTAGAGTAGTATGGTCATGGCACACTGGGCACACACGCTTTCAACACAGGCCCACTACCTAGGTACAGTACAGTAGGTACCGTGCCTAGGCCACACCCCAGGCCAGGCCAGGCACACCCACGTACTTAAGGTGCCCGTACTTAATGGTCACGTGCCCACACCGGGAATGCACATGAAGTCGAGCCCCAATGTACCCACCTGCACAGTACCTCCAATACACGTACAAACCCCCACCCGCACCCATATACCACCATCGCCATGGCGGTCGTCGCAAGTGGCCCCCAGACGGTGCAAGAACCGCTTGCCTCTGCTCCCAATACTGCACCAGCCCCAGCTTCTACTGGCAATCACAACCTCGACACCCTACAGAGCATGCTGAACCTCATTGTATGTATGCGCCCAACACGAGCCCTCCCTACGCCCCATGGCCATGTCCTATATACGCTCTCCCTACTGACGCCATCAGTTCATCCAATCCGGCCGCTTCATCAAAGAACACCAGGCCGGCGGAGGCACAGGACGCATGAAGTTGGGCATGCAGCGCACCGTACCCATCGCCGCCGAACGCTTCCACGATGCCCTCGACGAACTCGAGAACGAGGTCCGCTTGGCCCAGACCGTCCTTCGACGCGATCTCGCCCTCATAAAGGAGGACCGCAAGAAGCGGGATGCTGCAGCCAAACAGGTCGAGGCCGAGCGCGCGAGGCTCGCGATCGAAGCAAAGAACGCCCCCGTAGTCACTCCTGAATCCCCCAGCCAGCCCGAGAAGGTGGCTACACCACCAGAGCCTGAGATGGTGACAGAGAGCACACCGGCGCCAGTCGCAAAGGCCGACGAGCCAGAGCCCACTTCCCTGAATCGAGAAGAAGAACATGTCCCGCCGCCCATCAAGACAGACGGAAACACTACACCTCGAGATCCCCTGTTTGATGGTACGCCAACCACGGCCAATCCACAAGACAATGATTTCGACTTTGACGCCATCTTTGGAGACGCCATGGACACGACTGGTGATGACAACCCAGACGACATGATGGACACATCCGGCAACATGGATTTTAACCTCGACGACAGCAACGAAGGTCCTTCTTTACTTCGAGGTCTCGAGGACTTTGCCAAGGACGGCGATGACGGCGATGCAGATCAAGGCAATAGCATGGACATTGATCTTGGTATGGGAGACAGCATGCCGACCAGTCAACCCAACCAGCCAGAGTCGAACGAGCCCGCGACAGCCTCCAAACAGGAAACCGCACCTGTGCCTGCGCCTCCACCTGCACCCACGACTGCACCAGAGCCCACGCCCGCACCCAAAGCCGACGAGCCCAAGCCAGCGGTCGAACCAGCAACATCTCAGCCCGAGGAGGAAGAAATGAAGGACGCTACAGCCCAGGAGGATCTCATGGCAACCATGACCACCGACAATCTCGACGACCTTTTCAACATGGACGAGTACGAGAATCCAGAGAATTCATCCTTTGACGACGCCTTCTTCAACTTTGGCGATTAGCCGACTTGCCATGCGTGCCAGACTTGTTACTTTTTTGCTAGTCTACGATACCCCATATTCAGTATGAATGAAGAAGAAAAACAGAGTTATAGATATTTGTTGCATTTTATAATGTGCTAGGGGATATATGGCGAATTTCAATTCCTGGCAGGAATTCCACACACATCACCCCCTACCCCCGGCCCAAGTAATCCCGACACCCAACCCAATCCCCGCATTTCACGTGACCCTTTACCCCTCACCACCTCAAACCCCTCAGGTTCCCCGCGCTCGCCCGAGCAACTGACCTCGCACCCAACCCATACGCATACGCATACGCATCATGCAGCACGCCACTGGTGCATCGTGCTGCATATCTTTACTACAGCAATCCAGCTTTTCTATTCTTGTTTCCGAGCAAGGAAAGTGCGGGGTTTTGCAGAATATGTGTATGGCATGGTATGGCATGGCATCCAGCAGTGGCAGGTTGGAAAAATTCTAGGAGATTGGCGTTTTTGATGGGTTATAACGGATGTGGGTGTGAAGCTGCGTGGTTGGGATTGGGATTGGGGGGGGGGGGGGTGGTAGGGGGATATACTGTACTATAGGTCATGTAGTCTACACAACACCAGAATAGTAGGAGTAGTTACCAAATACCTACCGGTACAGGATAGCTACCTCCATCCTACAAACCCCAGCACCGCCCTACCCAGCCACAATCTCCTTACATACTTAAATCCCATTCATCCATACACACACACCCAACCAGCCATTCACACCTCCACAATAGCCGCGGCAACTCAACCCCATCCTAGCGCCGCGCTCCCCCTACCTAACCAGCTCCGTACCAAGCCCCTGTTCGCTCGCCCCGCCATTCCGCGTTCCGGTTCCGAACAGGGCCAAGGTCTTGGGGTGTGGTGGGGTGCAGGTGTATTTATGAGGGGAGCCTGCTTGTGTTTGAGTGTGAATTCGAGGTTGAGTTTGAGTGTACCAGGTTGTGTAGTACGGAGCCGAAGTGAACTGGACTTTTGTTGTGGGATTGGGATTGATTTATTGGGAGAATTTGAGATTTGGGAATTTGGGACTTGGGAGACTTTGGGAATTTGGTGGGGTTTGATTGGACGAGAGGATAGGACAAGGTGGAGGAAGGATAGGTACGAGTGTATTGGGGTTTTGGAGGGGTCGGGTAGCTGATGTTGATATTTGGAGTGGGGAAACGGATTCAAAAGGTCTTACCCATTAAGCAACTTGTGTAAGGGGAGCTGAAAGGATTATCCTGGACATCAAAATATCCACCCCTTCAAATGCCACAATGGACATAACCTAGCG